AAAAAAATCCACCGGCTATGCTCTAGGAGAAGCCCCTTTAGGGCTTTCTGCAAAGACAGATGTCTGAAATATGTGGGAGGAAATTAATCCTGGAGCATTTTTCACACCATTGATTAACAACATATACAGTTCCAGTACAGCATTTCAGGGCTCAAGTTGCCTCCAAAAGACATGTCAGGCCAGTTTTGGTGCCAGGAATATTCTACAGAGCTGAAAGTCAGTTTTGGATTTAGACAACAACCATGTGTGGGGTTGTGTGTGAGTGTCTGCACTTGGTGTTTAAGCTTCCACCAGAGTTTGTGCTGTCAGTAAGGGGTTGAAGGCAATTCAGTTCTCTGAATTGGGCACATTGAGCAGGATTTGATTCCATAAACAAGAGCACCTCTTGTTATCTGAGATCTCCCAGGATATCTAAGACATCAGCTGGAGACAAAGGTGTAAGCCATGAAGGGACTCAAAAACACTTCAAACAGACACAAACCCTCTGTTTTGGTACCTGAACCCTGCCCTTGGTAGCTGAACATCCTCTGGGCACCAGCACTTAGAGCTCTGCTGAGTATTGGGATCTTAGGTTCCTTTTTGGACATTGCAGAGAGTTCTACATKTATTTGTTTTAACCTTGAACCAAAGACCCCCTTTACATTCAAAGTTATATTTGTAGTTCAGAGGATTTTTAGCTTCACATGAAGAAAACAAAATCATTTAGTGACAGCAAAATGGATAATGATCAGTGTTATCTCTAATTGATGAACAGTTTGTCCTGTTACAGGTTGAGTGCTGCTGCCCAGCTGATGATCTAAACTCCCCAGGGAATTCCTGAGAAAAGAGAACACTGAGTGAATTCAGAGGATGCCTCACAYGCAGTCCAGAGTGACAGAAGCACAGAGAGAAAAGTGGTTGCTAAAGGGATGTTGTCAATTTTTTCCGAGTCTCTTTTCACAGTATTTTTCAAAGATAAGTAAGCTCCAGATAACAGTATACAGTACCTGTGAATGTTCAGTAGAGAATCCCACTAATTTATTTTTTTTTTCCTTAGAGGAATCACTGGATATCTTCTAAAAAGGCAGGAAAGTCCTTCCTTAWCTCATGCTCTGATTAATGCTGGAAAAGGATACAGAGCAGCTTCTCTCCTCCAATAAAACCCACCCCCTTCAGCTTTTATTTCCCCTCAGCTTTCTTACTCCAGCACTGACTTACCTGTTCCCTGTATCCAACCACATTAACTCKTAGCTGGCTATTAGTAGACTTTTAATGGCAAATGCTTTTTTTTTTAAGCTTTCTTTTACCGATTGAAGCAACTCTTTGTGCTGTATTCAATGCGTGTTGATTAACTCCAAACACTCGTGCCTTAACACCTCATGATATTTCATCAAGATAAAACATCTGGGCAGCAGCCCAGATCCCTTTCATCCAAGTGTTTAACTGGCAAGCTTCAGTCAAAAAYCTGCTCACCCTGAACTCCCATCTTAAGTAGGGAAGGAGAAGAATTTCCAGAGGGTGTTTCTAATGTTTCAGAGTTTGGAGCAGGATCAGCAATACCTCAGCKATAGAGCAATCCTAAATAATTAATCTGCTCTGAACACACAAATGTGGGAGAGCTCACAACAGATGAACCCTACTGGTGAGGTCTTTGTGGTTCCACTGCCCATCTTTTCAGTCATTTCCTAAATAATTCCTTCCCTAAATGCTGATATTCCACTTCCACCCGGGTGGGAACTCTTCCAGTGAAGATTTGTTATGCCTGGCTGAAAGGGAGGGAAGGAAGAAAGGAAATCTCAGCTTCATTCATCTTTAGAATTTAGATTTCTTTAGAATTAAAGTTATTCTGAGTTGGAAGGRACCTTAAAGATCATCAGCCTCCCCATCATGGTGCAATTTTTTGTTACCTAGGATTTTTTCTATCTAGACATAACTCAAACAGAGCCTATCACAAAGGAAAAGAATAATGCAACTCACAGGAACAAGTCATAGGAACAGGAGCCAAAATTTAATATTTAAAAGCATATTTAGGCAAAAGTATCACCTTTCATTGCCAGGAGCAACATTAGTTCCCAGATGTGTCCAAGGCATCTTAGGATAAGCACTATAAATTTGCACCTGTCCATAAACTCCTGGAATAAAAAAAAAAAAAATTAAAATCAGAAGGAAGATTTGAAAKGTTAAGGGAAAAAGAGGCTTGGAAAGAACTGAAGCAATAACTAAATATATGGAAATATTTGTATTTATTAAAGTGGGTTTCAGTATTTTATGAAAAGCGTAAGACCAGCACAAAGCCTCCACTAGAAATACGAAGTGAAGGAGCAAAAAGTCATCAATAAAGTAAAATAACMTTCACATAACAGGCAAGAGAGAGGATTTTACTACAGAAGTCTCATTGGCTCAAAGGAACTGCAGACCATGATATCCATTATGAAAAAATATCTAAGTAAATGAATCAGGTAAAAAAACTCCAGGAATGAAAGATACAAAAAATTATGCTAATATTAATCTTTCTGGTCCATGGCTGGGGTTCCCCCTATCCCTCTGGAAAATGCATCCAAAACCAGARTAAAAAGTCAAAATATAGAAACTTTTCATAGATCACATGTCCCAGGAGATTAAATTTTAGCTCAAAAATATGTGTACCTTTGTTTGAGGTTTATCTGTACAATGTAGTAACAATCTCAACAGGGTTAGATTTGGATATTACCCAAGATTAGTTCCCCATGAAAAGGGGAATTCATGTTCCATACCAATACTGCCTGGGTGGACATTTATACCCTCCAGACGATCACAGTAAATCCCTTCAGATGCCCGAAGAAGGAAGAGTAGCTTTAAATCCCTTTCTAGAGGATGTTGAGCAGAGCCTGCAATAAAGAGACAAAACAGCATCAAACTCCCCACAAAGGTAACCATGGCTTCTGTAAAGCTGAAAATGGGAGGGAAACTAGGGAGGATACCTGTGTGAATCTGATTTTAAAGATATATCTAAATGGTTGAATTCATATTTCTTTTCTCAACCTGTTTTTGCCTTTTTTTCTCCTTTACAGTTTCAGCAGGTAATCGTGCAACAAGGATGGAAAATATGAAAAGACTGAGAAAAAAAAGTATGGAAAAAGGAAGTGCCCAAGAAGTTTTGGTGTGTGCCATCATGGTAAATCTGCACAGTAAACTGTATTCCAACTTTGCCTCAATTTCTTTCACCAAGGATAGTTTACAGTTTCAGAAGAAAATGGCCCAGCACTAAACAGATACTAAGGAGGAAAAAGTAGGACAGTTTTTGCCCTGGAGAAATGTATGCGGAGTCCAGTAAAGGAGTTCAGCGTTCCTTTAAAATTAGAGATTAAATCAATTATGCAACAGAAAACTGCAGCAGATGTAGAACTAAAAAATATATACATATCTGTACAAAATTAGCTGGCCTGTCATGTTCTTTTAATATTTAAAAATTACTAGTTTGGAAAAGAGAGCTGATTTTGTATCCTAAAGAAATGCTTTGCTTAAAGAGCGTTTTTTTTTGAAGCGAAATCAATAAAACAATTCATTGTTCCCCACCAGCGTCTGACTGATAACTGAGGATATTTAAATTCTCTGTACAGCTTTTTAATGGGTAAAAGGCAAACACTGCAAGATTTCCATGCTCCCCATCTAATATATCTCATACCAGTGAGCTTGTATGTTCTCTGGGGACATGGAGGGAATTGTCTGATAGTGTCCATAGTCCACCAAAACCAGCTCTGATTTCCTTGTTTAAACTCCCATAAATGTGTTTTGGACAGGGGAAAAGCAGGAACTGGGTATGCCCAAATATGCTTTCACAAAGCAAAAAATAGGTGATGCAAATTTTCACCTCCAGTGTGTGAGGTTAAATAAAAACCCACCTAGAGCAGCAAAAGAGTCCTACAGACATTGGTGTCCATTTTTGTACCCAGAGTGATTTCCTGCTTCACYCTCACAGCAAATTGAGATTTAAAATATTCATCCTGAGCACACCTTTGCCAATCCTCAGGTCAGCCATCCCCCCTGGGGTACAGTTATCAACTACACTGAAGACCAAAGAAAGACTCAACAAAAATATTTGGAGATCCTTACATTAATCTTGCCATGTTATTCACAGTTATAATTTCCTAATCATGATGTTGCCTTAAAGTGAGGGATCATTAATAATGATTATATTATTAATAATAATTRTAATATCAATMTRTAAATTTCTGCTGCTGTTTTCATTGGTTCTATTACTTTACTCTTGGTTACAAAACATTTACTGTTCTAGTTAAGTCAGTTAAAACCATTTATGTGGTATATCCAATTCTCTGCTCAGTTTTTAAACCGTTGTTAAGCAGGTTTCCAGATTTAACAATCACAGACAAAGGATTGGAAACGGGGGTTTATAGGATGAGCTGGAAACCGCCACTCCCTTAAGAGAATTATATATCAGTTTAGCTAAAAATCATAAATTTTAGTCCAAAAAACCAAAAAA